GTCTGTGCTTAAATGAGTAACAGAGTCACAGTGATCAAATACTGCAGACTTTGAAATAAGGGACATGACTGGTTACTGATCAGGATGGGCATCTATTATACAGTTATTTGTGGACTGAAGTAGAGCTAGTGGCAAAGTTTGTACTTTATGCGATTGTTCACCATAAATTTACTGTGGTAACTGAAATTTCAACCATGTGTTGGGGGGACTGAGGTTTTTTAACTAAACTGTCTACCTAAAATTCATGCATATCAGGACCATGCAAAGTGAGGACTTCCTGTATGTGTCTCTTCCTCAGATAGGATGTCAGTTCTAATAGTGAAGGGACTATCTGAGTATTCGTTTCTATAGATATTGAATAACAAAATAAAATTTTTCTTCATCAATCACCTGGCTCTTGTATTCTAAAGCCCTTTCACTAAAGACTACTTTTTCTTCTCTGCATTTAAACAATCATTTCAAAAATTAAACATTTTCCATATCACAAGGAAATGGGAAAAAAAACAAAAACAAAAAACAGACGCTGACTGGAGTATGTCAAAGGGGTGTGGGAACCAACTGAAAGAGCTCCAAACTGACAAACCTGGAACAATCTGAGCAATAAATTAAAGTATTGGATTGTGCTATAATCTAAATGTTTGTGTCTTCCCAAAATTCACGTTAGAATCCTAACACCCAACGTGATGGTGTTAGGTGTGACGTTTGGAAGGTGGTTAGGTCATGAGGGCTGCACCCTCATGAATGGGATTAGCACTCTTACAAAAGTGAACCCACACAGCTCCTGTCTCAAGTGCACCTTGCATCCCTTACTTTCTGCCCTAAAGTTTCTCTGCTGCCCCTAGATTGCACACTTGTAACAATGCACTCATTCTGATATATGCACAAAATCCAAATGTACAAGTGTGTAAATGCCAGCCAGGGCCACACTCAACCAGTGAAGACAGGAGCCAGTAGATAATTATCCTCCTTCTCTGTGTCTCATGTGCACAATTCCAAAGGGAAAAAAAAGAGATCGCCCCCAACAGAGTTCCAAAAGCCCTTTCAGCTCTGTGAGAGTACAAGGAGAAATCTATGACCCAAAGAGGGCCCTTATTGAACCATGCTGCCTTCCCGATCTCCCAACTGCCAGCCTCCAGAACTGTGAGTGATAAATCTCCGTTGTTTGTAAGCCACCCAGTCTGTAAGAATTTGTTATAGCAGCCCAAATAGACTAAGACAGACTATAAACAAAGATACAAAATAAATACCTGCAAGTCCATATTGATGTAAATAAATAATTGAATAAATTAATAAATGGAGGAGAAGGGAAAATTTCCTGTGCAAAAAAGTCCCAAATAATTTTTGTAGATATTTGCACCTTAAAGAAGCAGAAGCCTAACTCTCCAGTCCTGAGGTGTGGGCTGCACATGGTGACTCCTTTCCAAAGAGACAGAATGAAGGAAGGAAAAAGAGTAACTTTACAGTGGGGGAATCTGACCAGCACAATTCAGCCAGGTTATGAAGAGTTCATCAGTGGTCATAAATCACATCAATTACATACACCCTTGATATAATGTGAAGAAAATTAAACTTTTCTCCTGTGACCTCCTCCCCCAAACCCATAACTCCAGTCTAATTATGAGAAAAGCACCAGACAGATTGTAATAGAGGGCCATTCTCCAGTGCATCTGACCAGGACTCCTCAAAACTGTCAAGGTCACCAACATCAAGGAAATCTGAGAGCTGTCACTACTGAGAGGAGCCTAAGGAGACATGAGAAGTAAATGTATGTGGTATCCCTGGGTGGGATCCTAGAACATTTGTTTAAAAACTAAGGAAGTCCATTATAGACTGAATGCTCACGTCACTCTAAAATTCATATGTTGAATTTTAATTCTGATGTGATAGCATTTGGAGGTGTAGTCTTTAAGAGGGAATAAGGTGATGAGGCCCTCATAAGTAAGATTAGTGCCCTTATAAAAAGAGATCAGAGAGTCACCCCTTCCACCATAAAGGACTCAAGAAGTTGGCAGTCTTCACCCTGGATGAAGGCTCTCCCCAGAGTCTGACCAGGCTGGCAATCTGATCTCTGTCTTCCAGACTCTGGAACAAATAAATATTTGTTGTTTATAAGCTATCCAATCCATAATCTTTTGTTATAGCTGCCTGAGCTAAGACAAAAACTATGGACTTCAGTTAACAATAATGTACCAATATCATAATTGTAACAAATGTATCACTCTAATGTAAGATGTTAGTAACAGGAAACTGTGTGCAGAGGTATATGGGAACTCTGCATTATCATCTCAATTTTTCCATAAATCTAAAACGGTTTTTTAAAAGTCTGTTAAATAAAATTTAACATCTTGTCCTCTTGCATCCCCTTGGAGAGCAATGCAAGGAAATGTGTGGTGGGGAGACTTCTGTGTTAATATACTCATGTTTTATCTCACCTTACAGGTTTGAGGTTTCCTCCTCTTCCGTCTTCTGTCCTAAACCAGGCACTCAGAGATTTCAGAAAAGCTGCTTCTCGGTCCTCCATGACATTCACCCTAAACTCTTCCAATTAGTAAAGCACAGAGCAGACCAAATCGGATTGGAGAACTTTGGGTTACCTGGGTGAGGTGAGGCAGCTTTGAAGACCTAATTGTGGGGAAGTTAATACATGTCCTGAGTCCAAGGATTCCCAGGTAGAAGATGTACCAAAGAGTGTGGAGGATGCTCTTATGTACCAGGCTCCAGAAGATCACCCCTAGCCATCATCCCTCCTTGGAATTGCCTCAGCTAAGAAGACTCACCTCGCCCAAGGTCACATTTGGTAATAAGCCACATCTATTGGCTCAACAACATGGTTATATAAAAGCCCAGCACTTTCACCAGTTCAGGTCAGCCCTGAAGGAACATCTTGGCACCAGAGCTCCATGGGAGGCCACCTGAGGTCCTCACTGGGACTTCACTGCCACTCAACTTCTTCGATACAATCCTGTTCCTTTTCCTCCCTCTACAGATATTGATTCTAAAAGTACCCCTTGAAAAATAGCATGTGGATCTTCACTTCAGAATCTGTTTCCCAAGGAAACCAACCAGAGACAAAGAGGCTGTGCTGGATACCAGAAAAAGTGGGGATCCCTTTGTCTCTAGGGGCCACAAGAGTCATGGAAGGATGAATTGTTTATATATTCTGCCATATACCAAACTGTCTTACTATATTGAGAGCAATGAGAATCCACAGAAATGTTTAGGTCACAGAAAGGTGTAATCAGATCTGTGTTCTAAAAGACCTGGCTGAAATAAGAGGAAGAGATTACAGGGCAGGGTGGAAAAAACTGGGGTAGCCTAATTAGGAGGTAATCATTTTTATTCAGGCAAGAGATGATGGTGGAGATGAAGAACTAGATTTAAGAGCCATTTAGGAGGTAAAACTAAGAGGGCCAAATAGGGAATAGATATGAGTGGATGAGTGGGAGGATGTAGAAGGTGGGCCTCTTCTTGGTTTAAGCAAATAGACAGATGATATGCCACATACTGAACAGGGTGGGGTGGGTGAAAAGAATGTCTAGGTGTAGATCATGAACTCAGTTGTGAATGTTTGAGGTATAGAAATGAAGATTACAAGGTCAAAGGATATATAGGTCTGAATGATGGGTTCAGAATTACTCAGCTACTGGGAAGTGGAATTTGAACCTAGAGTGTATCTGGTTCCAAAACCAGTGTTTTTGACCATCATGCCACTCAAAATCTCACCCTCTGAAGACTTTACAGTCCAATACAACGTGTGAAAATGGCTGGAGGTGGGAGGAAATGTGGGATGGTGGAGACTAGAGAAAAGAGGTTGTCCATTTCTCAGCAGGGTCCATGGGTGGGCTTCCCAGTGTGGAATTCATCATTCCAGAACAATGGGTTAGAATGGTGACATCACAAGGCAGTGGGAGTCTTGCCATCTCATAGAGGATGTTTGGGCCCTGCTCTGCACCTTCCTCTTCTAACACCTCTCCTGGCCTTGACATCTAGTTGGTCCCTGAGGAAAAGGCAGAGATCAAAGGAAGCAATGGAGAAACAGCCATAGCAGTCAGTGTCTGACTATGGATGTTTGGACATCAAAGGGTTACCAGTTGACAGTGGGACAAGAGTCCCTGAACACAACTTTTGTGCTTGGACTCAGCCCATTCCAGAGATGAGAGAGAAAGAGGTGAACATGCTGGTTCTTCTCTGTTTCTAAGAGTGCTTCTTCTGCCTCTTCACTTCTTTACTACAGAGCTGGCCCCAGACCCAGTACAGACAGGAAAGGCAGCCCTCACTTTCCCAGGTACATTTCTATGTGTTGTTTTTCCTCTTCGAGTGTGTTCCCTACAGCCTGGCATTCTCCATAGCCCCACCCTCAATCCTATAACACATAAATAATCACTATCTCTAAACCTTTAATCTCTTTCCCAGTCAAACACAATTCCTCTGCAGGAAGGAGAAAAGAGGCAACTTCCTATATTGTATGCAAGGACCCAGGGCAGAGCAAAGAGCCCACAGCAGACATTGCATTAGGGCTCATTTTATACCTTTGACACCTCTAGAATGGGGAGGAGGAGTCTCTTGTAAAGTTCAACTCTACTGCCAAGAGGCCAAGGCCAGAGAGATCTAGCCTCCTCCCTGCAGCTGTGCAGCTCAGTGAGGCCCAGATGTTGAGCTCATGCAAGAGCTGTAACACAACTGCCCATCACAAGTTTCCAGAAGCCTCTGGCCCAGCCTATGACTCTGAGGATGCTGGACACGGAAAGGCTATGGGATTAGGGAGAATCTCCAAGATGGGATGAGATCAGGAAGAAGCGAAAGCCTCGAGTGTCATACCCCCCAACTCTGGAAACTTACACATTTCCAGTAGCAACTTATCAGCTCATAGCAACCTTGTCTGTACAATTTATAATCCCAAAGGAAAAGAGTTACGGTTCCACAGCCTTTCCTTGCATCATGATCCCCTTCCTCTGACACTGTGGAAGCAGGACCTGTCCTCTCTCCTCAGAGCACACGGTGCCAGGCCCCTCCAGGACCACAGTCAGATGCAACAGGCTCCAGGGGCTGCCGTGATGCCTGTCCCTGTTCCCTCATTCTGCCGACTTCTGTCTTCTCTGCTGCTGGCCCTGCTGCTGAAACTGACAGGTGCGTGGGGCTTCAGGTGTGTGTGGTGGCGGCTTCCCTCTGCCTGTTTACTGTTTTCTCCCCACATGTCTCCCTAGAATTTCCTTTGGGAAGGATTTCTTTGTCCCATCGCAAAACAGGCAGAATTTACAGATCTAGGCTGGAATGGTCCCCAGCTCACAAAATCTCACAGTAGCTGGTCTGTTCCACACCCTTTAGTTCAGGTAACGGACTCACCCCCCAGGGTCAGAGGGTTGAGCACAGCAAACATCACAGCTTTCATCCCCCAGCCACTGGGAACAAAGGCTCTGTCTTTTAAATTTATTACTACCACACAAATGCTACCTCCTTAAAGGAGAAAGAAATGTTGGAAAACATGAAATTAAAAGCAAGAAAAGAGTTCACAATGCCTCCACCAGGAGATAATCACTGTTAAAATTTTGCAGAGGTCTGAGTGCTCATAAAACATTGGCCAAAGGTGCACGCTGGAGGTCTCTGGGGTCAGTGATGGAAGCTGAGCCCTGCGTCTCCCCAGCATAGCTGTGTGGTTCTGCCTCTACTTTGCTGAAAAGGCTAAATGAGCTTGTGGAGTCTCTTCCCAAGTTCATCAGTCCATGTTGACAGACGTCTTGAATCCTAATTGCCACAGCAGATAGCTTGAGGGGTTTAGACCAGATGAAACAAGAAGCAAGATAATTATCTAAGTATGAGAAAAAAGGGGGAAGACTTGGATCTTGGGAGGATAAAATGTATGAGGATATTTTAGAAAATACCGAGAAAAATTAACACCAATTTCATACAATCCCTTCAAGAAAACAGTAAAGAAGGCAATTCACTTTATGAGGAAATTATTACCTTGATAGCAAAAGTAGATAAAGACTGTACATAAAAAAGAAAACTACAGACCAACATCTGTCATGATCTTAGATGCAAAATTCCTCAACAAAACATTGGCAAATAGAATATAACATTATATGATGTTTTATACTGTGACTAAGTCAGGTTTATTTTAGGCATAAAAAATGTTTAAACATTTGAAAATGAACCTCTGTAATGCATCACATCAACTGGTTAAAGAAGAAAAAAATTGCATGACTGTATCAATTGATGCAGAAAAAGCACCTGACAGATCCAGTACCTACTAATGATGAAAACTCTCAACAAACCAGAAACAGGGAGGAATTCCCTCAACTTGATAAAGAACGTTGACCAAAACCCTACAGCTATCACTATACTCAATGGTGCAAGATTTTTTTCTCCCTAAGATAACGAAAAAGACAAGGATATCTATTCTCACAACTCTTATTCAACATAGTGGAGAGAGAGAAAGGGAAAAATAAGGAAAGGAATATAGATTGGAAATGAAGAAATAAATCTGTTTGCAGATGGCATGATTTTCTACATAGAAAATCCCAATCTACTAAAAAAGCCAAAACCAAACAATTAAAAAACTCCCAGAGTTAAGTGAGCTCAGCAAGGTGGCAGGATATAAGATCAATACACAAAATCAATTACACTTCTACACACTAAAACAAGCACGTGACCACTTATGTTAGCCCCACAAAATGAAATACTCAGGTATAAACCTACTATGTACAAGATCTGTATGAAGAAAGGTACAAAACTAATCAAAGACATCAGAGAAGAGCTAAATACGTACACTTATTTATATACATATTTATACATGTTTATGGATAGTAATATCAATATTGCCAAGATATTAGTCCTTCACAACTTGATCTATAGATTAAATGCAATCTCAGTTAAAAACCAGCAAGTTATTTCATGAATATTGACAAACTGATTCTAAAGTTTATATGAAGGGGCAAAAGACCCAGAATAGCCAACATATTATGGGAGAAGAACAAACTCACTTTTCACCAAAATTAACTCAAAATGGATCACAGACCTAAATGTATAAAGCACAAAATTATAAAACTCTGAAAGATAATGTAGAAGAAAACCTAGATGACCTTTGGTATGACAATGATTTGTTTTTATAAATAGGCTTTATATTTCAATGCAGTTTTAGATTCACAGCAAAGTTGATCAGAAGTTACAGTAATATTTCCCTATACTACTCCCTGCCCCCGCACATCACTGCCTCTTCTGTTTTCAGCATTCTTCACCAGAGTAGTACATTTGTTACAATTAATGTACCAGCACTGACAAATTGTTAACACTCAAAGTCCATAGTTTGAATTGTGTCACTCTTGGTATTGTACATTCTACGGGTTTGGATAAATGTATTATGATATGCATCCACCCACTTTATGGTATTACACAGAGTAATTTCACTGCCATAAAAATTCTCTGTGTGCTGCCTATTTATCCCTCTTTCCATCCTAACCCCTGGCAACCATTGATATTTTTACTGTCTTCCTAGTTTTGCATGTCAGATAGTTTCCATGTCATATAATTGGAATCCTGCAGCATGTAGGCTCATGCTTTCAATTAGTAATAAGCATTTAAGGTTACTCCTTGTCTTTTCAGAGCTAATTGCCTCATTTCTTTTCAGTGCTGAATAATATTCCAGTCAGGGTTTGCCAAAATGTCTTTATCCATTTATCTATTGAAGATCATCTTGTGGCTTTCAAGTTTGCACAATTATGAATAAAGCTGCTGTAAGCAATGAGGGAGAATCTGTTCCAGGCTTCTCTCCTAGCTTCTGGTAGCCTCAAACATGCCTTAAATTGTAGACGGCATTCTTTCCCATCTTCACAAAATTTTCTTCCTGTGCGTGTCAGCTAAGCTAAATTGTGCCTAAATTTCAGATTCACATAAGCTGTGAAATAATAGGTAATTTTAAGCCATTAATTTTGTAGTAATTTGTTACTCCAAAATAGAAAATAAATATGCTAGGATTGAGAAATCATTCAGGAGAAAAATCTTTCATAGTTTTGTAGTATTTGTCTTGTATATATTCTGTGTATCTTCCGTGAACTCTATGTCAGTGCTCCTTGTGTGATATCCAAGAACACACAGCAAGAGCAATTAACTACTAAGGAGTAAGAATTTGTTGGATTGGAATGAGCATCAACGAACATGAAACGTTTTAATAGCTGAGATGTTTTCATACTCTAATAACCCATCTTCACTCAGGGAAAATATAAATTTCATGCATAATACAAGTCTCAATGTGGATTTGGGCACACGGGGTAAATGGGCTTCCACATGAAGAGAGGGAGATGTCTCTATATGAAAGTCACAGTCTGAATATAGTATGTTGGTTATCAACACAATGCCCTGAGCTTGGGGACTTATCTCTAATTCTGAGACATAAAGAAAAATCTGACTCAAATCCTATTTTACATTTTTCATTTAATATAAATGTATTCATTGTTTCATTGAAAATATTTATTTGGTGCCTACTATGCTTCAGGATCTCTATATCCTGATGCAGAAGGAAGGCGCCATCCTCCTTTCTGTACACTGGTCCCCTTCCCTTCATCCCATATGGCAGCCAAATTTGTAATTTTTATAGTTTGATGCTAATACCTGCTGCTGAAGAGTGTGCAGTGAGACCCCACCTTCAACTAGAGCCAGACACTGAGAACATTTTGCGCTAAGGCAACAAACATGAGAAGTGACACAAAGTTTCTTTCCAGGAACTTCAGGTGAAGAGTTCCAGGTGAACCAGCCTGAGAGTTTGCTGTCAGCCAAGGCTGGAGATGTCATAACCTTGGTCAGCAATATGCCTGCTCTGTCCCCGGCAGGGCCCGTCTTGTGGATCAAGGAGACTGGGCTAGAACGAAAATTAATCTACAGTTTCAACGGAAACCAATTTCCCCGAGTATCCCAAGTGGTAAGCCCAAAGGCCAACCAAACAGACTATTCCATCCGCATCAGTAATGTGTCGCCTGAGGATACTGGTACCTATTACTGTGTGAAGTTAATCATAGCATTTCCTAACATGGAGTATGTATCTGGTCCGGTCACCTACGTGTCCGTGAATGGTGAGTACAGTGTGACAAACTCCAGCTTTCTGATTTTAAGATAATTTTTTTTAAAAAAATCTTTAAGATGTACAAAATCATTACTACATACTGGATGTTGTACCCCTTAATTCACAAACTTACCCTGTAGGCTGGGATGCTGTAGATGGCCCTTCTGATCAGTCATTCAAGGTTCCCATGCCCAATATTGAATCAAGCCATGTTAACAGTCATGCCTTTCTCTAATGGCTGGCACCACCAGAAACTGAATACAGGGCAATGGACATTCCCAGCTGAAAAGATACTGCATAGGTAAAATGTATTACATATGTGCACAGTATGGTCCAAAAAGTTGGAAAACTCAGACTTGGAAGGCTGACTAGCTTTTCTGAGGCTTAGGGACAGACCTTGGCCCAGAAATGTGCATTGTTTCTATTATGCCCTATTTCCTGACCCTGAATATCAGAAATAGGTACTTGCAGCTACATCTTGGCTTCTGGATTCAGGATGAAATCTCAGCATGGGTGAAGTTAGCCCCAAATGCCCAATATCTCATGAGCCAAAACAAAGGGTTACTCAGGCAGGCAGGCTCTCTGCCAGCCTGCACTATTCCATTCACCCATTTCCAACTGAAATGAGATTAAGACCCGGTGGCAGGTATCTGAGAGGTCATCACAATTCAGTCAGAGACCTTGTTCCCTACACAGGAAGTCAATGAGTAGGTGTATCTTCCTACTATGGTTGGGAGTAGCTTCTGGGGAATCATGAGATCAGAAGGGGTGTTGAGTGTCATCCACTCCCAGGTCTTGTTTGAAAAGCCCTCCTGGAGGGGTTGAGTCACCCTCCTGGCACTTGACTTTTCCCTGGTCTGCCCTGAGAGTTCTACTCCCAATTCTGCTTTTCTCTTATTCTCTGAAAACAACCAGTGTTTCCATCTCCTTGCCACTGTCTGAATTAATTTCAGGAAATACGGTGGGATTCGGGTGTCCTTTTCTGCCAGGAAAACTGGTCTTCCCCACTGGTGTTTTCCTCAAGCTGAACCACATTCCATGGCATCCAACTGACCAGGGAAAATTCACATATTTCTTTCGAGCTGAAAAATATACATACAGGTGGCTTACCTGCCATTCTCTCCTGGCCTCAACAGCCAAGAGTTCCTTCTTTACCCTAACCTGCATCTTAGGCCATCTGTGGTTCTGATGCTTCGACAACCTGAAAGGAAAGATCATTACCAGGACCGGACATCATGGGAGGTAGTAATGCTGGGAGTACTGAGTTAGGGGTCATTGGTAGACCCTCCAAAACTGATGAGATCCCCTGAGGCTCTAGTGTTTTTGTTGAGAAAAATAAACTGTCCCCCTCCTCCCTCTTGAGGAGATAAGCAGAGGATCTTGGGGAACATATGCCCTCCTGATATTCAGGTTTCCGATCTCTTTATTTCCCCTTTCTCCACACCTCTCAGCACTGATGTCTCCACAGAATCAATGACGGATTACCCTTCAGAGGGGAGATGAAGGCCAATCCCAAACCCTCTGGATGTGTGGGACTGGCAGAGGGGACCTGAATCTGTCTCCAAATACACTGAGTAATTGTTGGCATTCAGACAGGAAGAAGAACTCGTCTCTATGAATACTACCCATTCATAATTCCAGCCCTCCCCCTCCATCCTCCTCTCACCTTGCTTAGGAGCTGAGAAATGAAATTGGGGAGGTGATGTATCTGGTCTTCTGACCTGACTTCCCTCTGTTAGCACCCAGGGAAGGAGCTGCCTCCAATTGCAGAGGCCTCTCTAAACTTAGTGTGTGGGTACTCACATATGTCACTAAAAGAAGTAGTGAATGAGGACCAACCATGATCTGGATCCAGTTTCCTCAGTCCTGCCTAGGCCAGAGCAAGGGAAATGGGAGATGATTTTGAGTTTCTTTCCAGGAACCACAGACGAAATGTTCAAGGTGCAACAACCTGAGATGTCACAGACTGTATCAACTGGGGAAACACTCATCTTGAGTTGCAGTGTACCAGATTCATTTCCGAAAGGACCCGTCTTATGGTTCAAGGGAACTGGACGAAAACGTAAATTAATCTACAATTTCAAAGGAGGCCTCTTTCCCAGAGTCAAAAAAATTGGAAACATGGCCAAAGCTGGCAACACAGACTTTTCCATCCGCATCAGTGAAATCTCTCTTGCAGATGCCGGCATCTACTTCTGTGTGAAGTTCAAGGAGGGAAAACCTGACATAGAGTACCAGTCAGGTCGGGGCACCCAGGTGTTTGTGACTGGTGAGTTTGACTCCTCCACCTTCTGTCATGTGTCACTTCTGTCTCAGTGATCATGTCCTCCAGTCACTGAGCAACTACATTGTGCTAAATATTACTGAAGGTACAACATACATTTGATTTCATCATTCTCTCAGCATCTTGTTAATTTAAGTGTTTTACAGGCACAAAAACTGAGAGTCAGAAAGGTCACTGAGCAATGAGAGATTTTTTGCTTAACATTCCAACATTCAACCCACCCCCAATAGCTAGGCTAAACCAATTAAGGTAATTTTATGTCCCCTACCAGAGGCTGAATCAAA